AACCAACTTTTCTCTTCTCTTTTCCCCTCCTTCTTCCTCCTTTGTTCTTGGTGCGTGTTAGGATGGTAACAATGGAGTTTTTTCAGACCTTCTTTCCTCTAGGATGATGGTCTGGCCGAGCCTATGGGTTGAGGATTGATTGAGAATGCCTTTTTGGCATTTCTCATCAAATAATATGGGAGGGGTCCCATTTCATTTATTTGTTTTGATCCCAGATCATTTCATGCCTCTCCCCCATGTCCTTGTGCGGCTCCCCTTGATCCCTTTCAGAGCTAAATACGTGGGTTGGCCCCCACTTATGTGGGAGGTCAACCCTTTGTGTACCGGAGTGTACAATCGGTCCCGAAAGTTGTATTTTCCAGACTGTTTTAAGCATATTTTATTTTATCGGGTCAAATAAAATATAACACTTGTTCCCAATCCTTATTGGTCCTTAGAATCAATATGATTCCCCAACTTTAATTTAGAAATCTCCGGAACCCCTTTTTGGGCTGTTACCTGATAAATTGCTGACACCGATAATTTGGCCCCGTTTGACCAACCGGTCAACTATATGCCATCGCCATGGCCCAATTAGGATATCTACCACCATATTCATATTATCTAGCCCAAGATTAATATAATATGTGGTCCCGATAATATTGGGCGGCCCCACATCCGGTGTGGGCCCCACGTGGATTTACTATTCACGTAATAGAAATGATAAAAATTTACAATCACGTAAAAATGCTTTTATACATTTCTCAAGGTTAAATACATAATTTGGTACAGTACAAATACTCGGGGGCGGTGTTACACTAGAGAATGACAATAATTATCAAAAAATGGCCGTAGTGAAATGCACTACGAAGAAAAATCAGCAAATGGAAAACAATCTCTTGGTTTTTGTTAAAACTTAAATTTATTCGACAGTGATATCGAGAACTATTTGAACTTTTATAAGCTTTGCATTAAAAACTATTTCAATTCGAACTGCTTAAAATTGTAAATTTTGTGTTTGAAATTCCGAATTTGAAGTGCATATATTTGTGTCTTTTGAGCCTGGATTGGTATTTGAAATTCCTTAATGTTGTGTTTAGGGCTGCACATCGGCCGGGTTGGGTCGGATTTGCTATATTTTTTGGGCCTACCCGATTTGTTCGGGTTGACTATTATTCAACCCGCGGTACGCAAAATAAGTTGGTAAACCATGCATGCACGGGTCGGGTAGGGTCGGGTATTGAAAAAAAAAATCACTTCGGGTTGCATCTTTATGTGAGAGATTAATGTAACCAATTTAAAACTCGATTAACTTGTTTTCAAAACACACAAACAAATACAAGTACTCTATCTTTTGTAAGCAAAAATATTAGATAATACTACGTAGTATTAAAACATCCTTCCGTAAAGGAAGATCATTTAGAAGGAAACATAAATATATAATAATCATCTAGTCAAAATGTTAAATGTTTAAATTATAATCATAGTATCATAAAGTCCTAGATAGAGCACATTGGTCTTAAATTGAAATTATCCAAGAAAACATTGTACCATAATAATAGTAAAATGAACTTCGCCAGGGTCGGGTACTATCGGGTTGAAGATTTTAATTCCGCAACCCTACCCATTAGGTGCGGGTTCGATCATATTTAACCCATGAATATTTTTAAAAATCAAATACCCGATTAAATAGGGTCGGGTAGGGTTGGGTCGGACGGTTTATGCGGGTTCGGGTTATTCTTGTGCAGGCCTAGTTGTGTTTTTTTCCAGGATTTGCAGTCTTAAATTGGTATGATGGAGATAAGGAAATGTAATCCAACACAACTAAATATATATTACTATAGCAAGATGAAACAAAAACTATATGAGTAGTATATCACAAACACCATTATCGCAGAGGGAAAGGAGCTACAAACTCATCCCCAGATATAAAACTCAACATTCCTTTAATGTTAAAGCAATAAAAATTTACATTTAGTAAAGTTTTTATTGCTATTATTTTAATGCGGTTCAACGTAAATACAAGGAGGCACAATAGCTTGGTTTTAGTGTGTTTGATAATGGAACAATTCTCATATTCAAATCACATGCAAGTAAATTACTAACACTACATATCACATTGTTGGAGGTATTGGTCCTACCGAGACCTCCCTTCCACTTTATTATTAAGGCTTGCACCCCATGTTTACTCCCACTTTGATTCCCTTAGTTGAAATCACTCATTGGTGCCTGTTGACTTACAATATGTGAGCCCCTTTGTGTGTTGTCCGCTGCAGTGCTCTATTGTTGTCTTGCTACCCGTGACTGTCCTCCAGTTTACCCGTGAGTGTCTTGTAGGCAGTCTGCCTACTATATCTGCGACCCTTGGTTCTTCTCTGCGAATTAAGCATGCGTGAATTCCTCTTCCAGAGAGCAGTGTCTTCCTTCTTCCTTTCCTTGTGTGAGAGTTCCTTTGTGGAGTGAAGAAGAGTGAGTAAACATGGGAGATGTTGTGGCCTAGCCCTAGAGGGTGTGTGTGAGTTTAGTTAGAGTGGTTGGAGACCTGAGCCGGAGACGGATACGATCCTTACACACATGATAAGTAACAATACATATTTTAGTTTAAAATGTATATCTCATCAACACAAACTTGAGTTTATGTTATCAAAACATGATACAAACGGTAGACAGAATTTAAATATATTATTTTTTCTTTTTAAAAATAGATAATTAGTTACAAAATTTTCTAACAATGCCAATTGAGCTTCTAAATCTTAATGCAATTTTGAATAAGTTAGAAGTTATTCCAAGATGAAGTATATTTTAGATTAAATTAATCCATGATTCCAATACGTAAGTTAATACGTAAGTTGATATTAGAAACTTTATTTTCAATATTTAGGCCACACCAAGTAAATAGATTTTGATACGTCTATTCCAATGGCACCGTTGGATCTAAATAGCATTGATTTGCCTATCATATAAATTTATAACAGATTTAGTAAAATATAAGAACTAAAGACTTTAATGAATATAAGAAAATCTGAATATTTACAAACCGAACATCACGATATGGAGTCATGCACACAAAGCAAAAGTGATACAAACATAACAAGTGATATAGATGCAAAAAAATAAAAAATTAAGGAAGGAGATGTAAGGGATATACCCAAAATCCGAGATTTTAGTAGGTCATGGCGTGAGATCCATCGATATCCTCTCAGCCACCGTCAACATTCGAATGGTCGGCCAAGGGGTTTATCCAATAATGAATAGCCATAACGACATTATTGAACCACCGAAATAGTCAGATAAGAGTACGATAGACAACATGATAAACAATACTCCGTAAAAAAAGGCTTAGATCTGCGCTATCAGAAACCTGCGCTACGAGAGGTTATTAGATGATCTTTCTTTCTTTAGAGGTGTTGTACGGATGAAATAAAATGGTTGATGGGAAATACAGTACTCCGTATTATATAGTGTATACCTTAGGTTTTTACAATGGGCCAGTTAAATGTTGGTGGGCTGACATGGGTTGGGCTTATATGGGCAGATAAGGAAATGTCCTGAACTGTAAGAAATAATAACAAAATACGTAGTAACTTATTACTCCCTTCATCACATTATAACTGTCTCATATTTTCTTTTTCGTCAGTTCCCCTAAATTTTTTATACTATATTGACAATATTTGTGTGACTCTACTAATTCATATTTCGTCAATGCGAAAAACCCAGTCAACAATTGTATGAGCTTACAATAATAATAATAACCATATAGCTATACAAAAAATTATACTCAAAGATACTCCCTTTGTCTCTAAAAAATTTGTGACCAACACGAGAATTAATAAAGTTAAAATTGTGTGATTGAGGTTTGTGCAGAGTAAAAAGAATTAACTATGATCACAAATCATTACTTAAAAGGAAAAATGACAAAGTTAGTGGGACATCCAAAAAAAGAAAGTTGGTAAAAGTTTGAGAGATGAAGAGAGTAGTTATTATTTTCAATAAGGGATTTGTCTGTCATTGTCACCATATTGAAATGTCAGATCCATATTTTTGGTATTGTATATGTCACCCCTGAATTGACAGATGTGTTGTAAATGTCACCCCAATGTATTTATAATTCATCTCCAATTCTAAACTATCAATAAATTCACCGGAGATGACATTTCAATATAATGACTAATTCAGGGACCAAAATTACGATTTTCCATTATAATAATTAACTCATGGCAATACCTACTAAGCATTTAAAACAATCTCATAATATTCCAAAATATTGTTTTGATCCTATTAAAATATATAATAATATTTGTTATTTGTATTGTACATTTATAATATAATGTGGCATGTTTTTCATTTTAAAATAAATATATTACATTTTTTTTAATTTTTAAGGTAAATTGCAATTTTTGGGTTTTTGAGTCCGGGTCCGGACCGAGTTTTTCCAAATTGATCGGGTTTTTCCGGTTTTTAACTAATCAAACAAGATTTTGGGTTGGGTTGACCTGGTCCGGTCGGGTCAATTTTTGAAACATAGCTAATAGGATTAACAAATCATATTATACACTTACTCCGTAATAACTACTTAATTTATGCCCCGTGCATCACACGGGTGAGAATCTAGTTACTCTCCAAAATCACCAACAATTCAAATCCAAAGAAGATAATTATCATAATATTTGGTTTAAGATGCATATAAATAAATAATATAGGTTTTCTAAAATGTTACGAAAATACTACGTAAAATTTATGGATAAATATGTGATTAAAGTTACTATAAATATATTTTATGGTTATTACGGTAAATAAATTGAACATATTTGTAGGCACTAAAAGTTACTTAGTCATTTTTTCGTCCAGCATGATTATAATCATATATTAGAAATTAATTTATAAATTATATTCGTATATTATATTGATTTTATATTAAAGCTAATTGTTTGGGGTTTTTATCGGTCCAGACCAGATTATAGATTTTAGGGTCCGTTAATTAGCAAAAATTTCGAGTTCGGGTCGTTTTTTTGCCGACGGGTTAAAAAGTAAAACCCCCGACTAATATCATAATTAGGGTCGGACGAGTCTCTTTCCCGGTTTCTATTCAGTTTTTCCCACACCTAGTTAGGCCGTTAGGCGGGCGATTTGAGAACCCTGGAATAAGAATAGAAACGGCGTTGAGGAAGAGGGCAGATGGCAAGTCAGCTGAAAAACCCTAAATATCATCCGAAGCTTAACCCCAACTGGGCTGAGCTATGTCAAGTACAACTACTTATTTCTTCTTTCTCTTCATCTATTTTCCTACCCACATTTCTTCTTCACCGTTTTCTGTTTCCTGGTTTGCAGAAACTCAATATCAACGGCTCAAAGAAACAGCTCATAAAGCCTTTGCGAGAATCAGAAACCCCGAGTACCATCTTGGGTACTGTTCAGATCTTAAGAACTTTATTCGTTTCTTTCATGTATACTTTGTGATCATTCGAGAAAAAAACCACATTTTTAAAAGAAAAAAGAGTAATTGACTAATTGAGATTGCAGGGAAGAGAAAAGAGAGGCATAATGTGCTAGCGAGTGATTCGCAGACCAACCCTTTGGATCCTACCTCGTCTGATTTCAGGTGCACTTTTGTTTTCCCATTTTTTGGCTATGAATGTTTTTAATTGAATTTGTTTCAGTCTCAAACTAGATGATATCTCGACAGTTCTAAAGTATACATCATTTCATTTTCATTTACCCCAGTGCCTCAAAGGCTCCCACCTATTGTGGGGTAAAGAGGGTCGAATGTACGCAGTCTTACCCCTGTACTAAAGCACAGAGAGACTGTTCTAAAGTATACATAGAATAAACATTTGAAAAATCAGTTCATACTAGATTAGACTCAATCCAGGCCAATCTGATGCAGAAAATTCCACTCTAATTATAATCATTCTAAGAACTGTGATGTTCTTAACACTTGATGTTCTTATGGCATTCAATGATAAATGAGTTTAGTTAGAGCATCTCCAATGGGGTAGTGGATTCTAGTGATGTCCATACTAACGTGGCATAAGAGAGAGATATAGATAGGATGCTTATTTTAATTTAACATGGAGAAAGTGGTTTGTGGGGAAAATGAGAAAAATGAGAGAGATAGAAACAAATTGCAGATAATGTCTATAACAATGTCCAGACATGGACTTTACACGGGAATCAATGAGTAAACGTGGATTAAAAGTGGGTTAAAAGTGGTATAAAAATTAAAATTAAAATAAATGTGGAGATATGCAAGTCCTACACATAAAATTGTGAGATAAAAAATGGGATCCACGTGTATGAGACTAGACATCCCTACTGGAGATGCTTAGTCTGATGGCTTGCATTTTGGTAAATTAGATTTTTTGTTCTTAACCGTTAACAACAAAATGACATAAAAGGACATTAGTATATTTTTACATTATTTTTAGTCGTAACAATAACAATAATATAGTTGAAGTTATAATCACTTAGAAGTACAATGATATTGTATTTGTATGTAAATATTTAAAGATGTAGAAATTTAGTTTTAGTTCCTTTAGATTAGGTGTGGCAACAAGATATTACAACGTATCTTGAAATTAATGTATATATAATTTCTTGAATTAAGTTTTAATTCATCCAAATTAATTTTGTTGTACACAATTAACATCTGTAGCTCTGTTACTTGAGCTCCATAATTTAGAAAGACGGTGAGTTAGATGCAGATGTATCCCATAGAATTAGAACAAAGTGATTGAAATGGAAGAGCGCGTTAGGATTTCTATATGGTCGAGGTATGCCGACTAGACTAAAGGATAAGTTTTATCCGACATCAACTACGCTTGCATTATTGTATGGTATAGAGTGTTGGACGGTGAAACAATGTCACATTCAAAAGATGAGTGTGGTTGAGATGCACATGTTGCATTGTATGTGTGAACATATTAGAAAATACTGATTGAGGAATGAGACAATCACACAAAAGGTGAGAGTAACACATATTGAAGATAAGATGCGAGAGTCTTGATGTGGTGATTTGGCCTTGTGCGTCGAAGATTGAGTGATGCACCTCTTAGATGATTTGAGAGGTGTGGAGAAGAGGTAGGGAGGAGAGGAGACTCAAACAAGCATGGACATGGATTAGAGAAGTCTTCTTGGGTGAGATGAGAGTATGATTTTGGAGAGAGTGAAGTGGATACAACATATTCCCAAAACTCTTTTCACATGTCGATTAATGCTAGCCATTCCCAAAACTCTTTAGGACTATGGCTTGGATGTTGTTGTATCATTAACATCTATTGCCCATCATTCAAAGAGTATGTCATTGAAATTAGAATCATCACACATATATAAATAAATCGAAGCTAATCGAAGCAACATTGATGTGAAATATATTAGAATCAGTGTTAGAATATGCTTTGGAATATTTAGGAACACACTCCACGATATTATTATGCTATAGAATCTTATAGGAATACTCTATCTTGAAATAGATATTTATAGGGACTTCAACCCTTCAATAAACACAAAAAAAATCCTTCTATCTTCACTATTCAATATTATTCTAGTTTATTTTTCAACTTGGTATCACATCCATAAAAAATTTCAGACCATTTCTAAAAGTTTCAAAACAATCGCGAGTACGCTTAATTGTTCCGTGACATTTTTTTCTTGATATTGTGCGTTGACGAAACAAATTATTGTCAAGGGGACATGAGTCAATGGCCTTTATGTTTTGGGCACATCAATCATAGAAGGTGTCTCTTCTTTTGGAATTAGAACTTTGTTAGAGGCTCATTATCAACTAGGACATCCATCTCTCCCACTAATGAAGCAAACATATCCTCAGTTTTATAAGGTTTCATCTTTACAATGTGAGTCATGTCAATTTGCGAAACATCATCATACTAATAAGTCCTAGAGTTAATAAATGAGTAAATGCTCCTTTTGGTCTTGTCCATTGTGATGTTTGGGGGGCTTGTCTCGTTGTCTCCTAATTTGCTTTCAAATATCTTGTTACATTTGTTGTTGATTATTCTCGTATAACTTTGTTATATTTTATGAAACGTTGATCGGAGTTATTTACTCATTTTTTGCATTTTGTGCTGAAATTAAAACCCAGTTTAATGTTCTTGTTCGTGCGTTAAGGGGAGACAATGACCAAGAATATCTATTTGCTCCATTTAAGTCTATTACGCTTCAACATGACATGATTCATCCATAGTTGTTATGGCGTCGCTGCATCAGCGCCTTATCGTTGTGGCACTCTGGGCAGGTCGCCATAGAAGCTTGACACGCCACAAGTCAAAAGGCCCAAACCCAAACCCAGTAATTTTTCCCCCCCAAACCCAGTAATTTGATAAGTGATTAGCAATAACCCATCAAAATTAAAAAAAAAGCCAGTTAACCTATCTGGCAAATCTGGCGACTCCAACTTCCAAAGCCATCACCATCCCAAATGCATACTCGAGTCGTCAAGTGTGCCGTTGGTCGTCGTTGTCCACATCTAGACTCAAACATCTTCTTCCGCCATGTATTTCCATAGTTCATCGCATTTGTGGAGTATTTGCTTCGGTATTTTGCATAGGCATCACATATTTATTTTGCTTCAGTTTTGGGATAGGCATCGGGTGACTTTAGACTTGTTTTTTTGCTCCCGAGTTATCCTCTACTATCTACTGCTTACTTTTTGTATTTCTTTTTTCATTGTCCAGTAGCTTGTAATAATTAAGTGCTTTATAGTATTTGTATTTAATATTTTATTGTTTTGTATTTCTTTATTTTGTTGGATTATGGATAATGTTTGTGATTTTTTTGATGAACTACAAACCTATGGTTATGATCTTATGGATTATGTTATTTCTATGATTACATGTTTTACTACTTCATTAGTAGTATTGGCTATAAGTGTTACATGTAGGCATTTTAGTATATAAAACATATTATGAATTTATTAGTGTACCTATGTCGACTTATCGCCGCGATGCCGCCACGACGAGCGCCATATCGCCATGGCAGTATGGCAGTCCAGAGGCGCCGCGCCGTGAAACCCCGCCGTAACAACTATCTATTCATCAAACTTCATGCACCGACACACCTCCTCAAAATGGATTTGTTGAACGAGAACCGACATTTGTTAGTAACTGCAAGAACTATTCTATTCCAAATGAATGTCCCTAAACAGTTTTGGGCTCATGCCGTGTCTATCTCATGTTTTTTGATAAATTGTATACCATCTTCCATTTTGGATGGTAAAGCTCCTTATCAATGCCTTTTTCCAAACAAAGAACTTTTTCTTATCCCACCTAAAATATTAGTTTGTACTTGTTTTGTTAGAGATGTTAACACTTATCATGTGAAGTTAGACCATAGAAACAGAAATCGCTAAAGTAGGCGCGATCTGCGTACCGATCGTTGTGTACCCAATCGCGGTACGAAAGCGATCCGATCGCACCTCGGAACGCCATACGGTACGATGCTCCAGTCGTTCGCAATCGCACCTTGAAGCGATTGTAATCGCAGTCTGATACGACTTAATTCGTATGAAGACGCGTTCGTAAAATCGAAGCTGGTCGTTCCGTCTGCGTTTCCCCATCGATCGCAATTTGAAACAAACTGAATCGTCGTTTGAAACGCATGAGTCGTGCAGGTTACAATATGTGTACGCTTCGTTTCAAGACGCCTGTAATAATAGACGTAAGGACGAAGGATTTCAAACCAGCTCTTCGTTTACTGGTCCAAATTAATCCAACTCATAAATTTTACATTTTAATTAACTCTTATAAATTGTGGGACTGTGTTTCTGTTTTGCTTGAAATGTTTCTTGAATATTAATGTTTTTGCTTTTGTTTAATGTTATGAAAAATCATGTTATGAAATCTGTTTTTGTTCAATGTTGAAATCTGTATTCTATAATTCAGTTTTATATTTATATTATAGTACCAAAATATGTTTTCTCTCTCATGAAATACCAGATTAGACTGGTTCTAAAGATGATCGAAGATCTACATCTGACTATTGTGTCTTTATTGATGGTAACCTAGTATCCCGGAAGAGTAAGGAGATGTCGCAGGAGAAGAGAGAGTTCTTTGCGTAGGTGAATAGAAAATATACGTTAAGGTTCAAATCCTTCAAATCCTTATCATGATTTGAATGAAATAAGACTTGTTAGGGTTTAGTATATGGGCTTCTATTTAGAAAGAACTCTGGGCTTTTATTAAATGAAATACTTGGGCCTGTTTTAAGTCACTGCGCAAGTGTTCAAGGCGTGCGCCTCAACAAACGCCTCAAGTCACGCCTGAAGGCGTGCGCCTCAAGGCGTGCGCCTCAATCTATGAGGCGTAAGCCTCTTTACCTGCGAAAAAAAATATACACCTTGATACCCAACCAGTACGCCTCAGCTTGAGGCGCGCCTCAGAAATGTTAGGTACAACGTACCGAACATATGGTACATCGTACCGAACGTGTACCGAAATGAACCTACCCCCTCCGAATCGGATATGCTAGAAATAGCGAACCGCGTTCCCGTTCCTCGTTTCCGTATCGAACCGTACCGCGAACCATGTGACTATGAGTTGGACCCCAAATCATTAAAGTGTAATTTCTTAGGTTATTCTCGAGTTC